AGCAAAAGAGCTAGGAAACATGACAGTGACAAGCCATACAGTTACATATAGAAGATGGGGAAAACAATGATACTGAGAATCTCCAGAAGATTTTGAATCCAGCAGTTAATTGGAAAGATTCTCACCCTGACTAACTATATATACTGACACCTGTGAACTAAGCAACTGCACTGAAGATGATAATTTATAATAGTAAGTTCTTGCTTGGAGGGCCTGTCATTCTGGTCTTCTGACAATGGGCTTCTTGTCATGACATGCCAGTTGCTGCTGTGCTGTCTCTCAGGTAGATATTTGTTCTGAAAGAAAGGGGGTGGTGAATGAAGGTACGAAGCAGGAAAAGGAATGTTGTGTGTCTGTCCTGCTTCAAGGTTTTATGTGGTTAGATTTTTGAACTTACGTGTAAACATAAGAATTATATAATTCTTTATGCCTATTTTTAAAATGTATTCTAATTTTTAAATGTTTTTTCATCATAATCTGTAGGGACTTAAAGTTCAACATATCAATACTTGATGAAAAATACCTGTTCCTTATTATGCCTAAGATGTTTGAAATTCAGACAGATAGTGAGGTTAAGCTTAACAGCCTAGGTTGTATGGTAATAACAACAAGCTTGTCTTCTGGATGGTTAACAACCTATGTTTGCAGACCAAAATTAGAGAAGAAAGAGGGTCGCAAGGAAGCCAACATTTTGGCCCCAGCCTTCCAAGGTCAAGTAAGGCTTAGGACATATGAGAACTTGTACTGTGACATCATGTAACTCGGTAGTGTCTCAAATTTTCTGATCAAGGAGATTATGGGGCCAAAGAGGAAAGTGATTAATGATGTAAAGTGTGCCTAAGGAGAGTCACATGGAGTGAAAACATTCTCTCAGGCTTTCACAGAGAGCACATTGGCCAAGCAATGGCCATGACTCATCCACATGGCTGACACTGACAAAGGATCTACAATCTGAGGTACAGGATCTCAGGATAAATCCTGAGGTGATTTCACTGACCTTATCAGACCCAAAACTTACAACTCTTGTTGCACAGGTCCTGCTTTACCTTGATCTTAACCATCCAGCAGAAAAGTATAAAAATGAAGTATAAGAAGTGAAGCTGTGCTGTTATTTTGAGCTGTAGGGGACTCAGGTCAACAATCTGACACTGCCAGTGAAGCGGAAGACTCAATACTATTCTGGGGTAGTGGACTCTTTTAGAATACTTTGCTGAGTCGACACACCTATAATATTCAAATAACGGAACTAAACAAAAAAAAGGGGATACAGATGAATGTCCATTTTGTATCTGTGTATTCAAAATGGTTAGGATATATAGTTACATTCTCTTAATGAATAGAGGGATTTGTTCTAATAGTGTTTGTATATAGGATATCATGTCTGCATCTTGTACAGCAATTAACCACTAGGCAGAATGTATGCAATGTGTTAATTATTGAAACTGTCCTACCAATTTGGTTTGAAACTGTCTCATTGCTATTTGTTTCTCAATAAAATTATGAGAAAAAAAGCTTAAGCAATTAAATTTAACCAACTGTCAACATTGTATAGCTTGAGCTATTAAGTATGCATATGTAAAGATATTTGCATTCTACCTAAATTTTATTAAATTGGCATTTTAATTACTCACTTCTAAGTGAAACAGTAGTAGACTTTGGTAGAATTTCTGATAGGATTACAATGTATATATTTCCAGGCTGGCAGAAATCCACAAAGAGTTTCACAGTGCAGAATAGAAATAGAAGTATTGTTTTTCAGTTGTCTTATCTTTCCATCTATGTGTTCCCAGTGGAGTACAAAGACTGCTGAAATACACATGTTGTAGCTGTTTAGTGAGTTTTAGTGAACAATTAGAGCCAACACATGTACCTAGTCTCTGGCATCTGTTTCAATTTGTAATTAGTGGCAACAGCCTCCTCTGCTGTATCAAAAGTGATTGTGAATGTAACAAAATTACTTATAGTTGCTCATATAAACACAAGGTCTAGATTATGGCACCGCCTTTGATTTCTCTACTGATAGTCTTTCTTATTTCAGGTCTTTAAAAAAAAAAAAAAACAACTACTGGGGCATAGTTAGATTAATCCAAATTAAGGAAGGAAGGAAAAGATTAGCTCTAAGAGACACTCTCTCAAATGAGAATAATTTAGGAAAACCAGGGACTTGCCTTTGTTTTATAAAATGAATTCCAGAGGCTTATTTAAAAGGGAAGTTTGGAGACTAATTAAGATACATACATACCTGCAAGGCTAAGTATAAAATAAAAATGGAGAGCCCTTTTTTCAAAAAGCAGGGAAAATTTATCATTAAAGATATTAAAATTTAAACTTTTCCCCTTACTTCCATGGTCTTACCCATTAACTTGTTATAGTGCTAGTTGCGATTTAATGTCATTTTATTTTTTTTATTTTTTGACACAACTGGGGATTGAACTCAGACCCTTGCGCTTGCCAGGGAAGAGCTTATTCTACTGTTCCATCTCTCTGGCCCTTTAATGTCATTTTAATTAAGGAAAAAATTAATATTTAAAATAATAAATTGCAGAAATTCTACCAAATATACTACTAGTTCATTTAGAAGTCTGAAAATAAAGGTCAATTTAAGAAAATTTGTGTAGAATGCAGTTATCTTAAGTTTTCATACCTAATATCCAAGCATAAAATCTAGCTTTCACCTTGATATTATACAATGCCAGTTTTAAACACTAGCAAGAGGGCTTTTATTAAATGGAATTAGTAAAATTACACAATTTGTACTTCCTAGTTCCTTCAGGTATATGTATTTCCCAGAAAGGGCAGTGGAAGTGATGTGTAAAACTAACCTTTTATTCTTCTTTTGATGTTTGTACATTATATCCTTTAAAAAAAAAACTTATGCATGAGGAAGGTCTGAGAAGAGGCTGTGCATTGCCATAATTTTCCCTTTCCTTCCATTTATCATGTTCAGTAAAAATGCTTGGCTAATACAGCTAAAGAGCAGGAATAAGAAGGGATGTGATAGACATCACACAGTATTCCCTTTTTGCATTTGAAGCAGTTTCCTGTTCAAAACATATAGTCTGTCAGAGCTCTTAGTGAACACCCTCACCTGCTTACTCAGCTGTAGACATGACATGTTTGCTTGTTTTGTTCTACTTTTGTCTTGCTGAACTGCTGCATACTCTGGATGCTTATGAGTATTTTGATAATGGGGTACCTGGAATGCTATGTAAACAGGAGGAAAAATAGCTGAAGACATACATGTTGTTCTCATTGCCTCTGCTCACAATACCCCGTCTCATACCACTTTCAAGACACAAGTTCAAAGGTAGAAGTATTAAAAATTTCAAGGTGGTGACAACGAGGCATTCAGCCCAGCATGGGAGCCCTGTGTCTTGCGTGTCTGTGAAAATGACTCTGCCTCAGCAATCACACAATTACAAATTGGAGTAATAGTATTGTTCCAGGTAGAATTGCCATAGGAGACACTAGGTTATGAGTATGATATTCATAACAGCGTCTGACATATAGAAAGACTCAGGTCACGGTATTTTGGTAATAAGTTTGTTTTCTGCATCCCCAATAAAATTAAGCAATGATTATTGTTATCCCAGTCATGGACCTGTTTGTTTGATTTGGATCAAGAATTCATTATAAAAGCCCCCTTAAGAATGTATATTTTCAAACACATGGAATTTTGGAATGAAATGAAGGGATCTTATCTGTATAATGAGGCAACTGCATGCTACACAAGGAAAAGCCCTGAGTGAGTTCCAGAGGGGCCTGGGTTACTTTCTTCAGTTGTAATCACCATGGCAGGTTTTAGTCAATGGTGCAGTTCTGTGTCCAGGAAAAGATAAGGACACACATCATTAAAGGTAGTTGCATTGCTAGGTTGTGTCCATGTCAGAGTGCAGTCAGCTCTGTAAAGCCTTGGATGAGAAGGCTTCTATTCAGACCCATGGCATGGAAATATTTAAATCTGGAAGGAAACAAAATGAGGACGTAAGTGAGGTCTTCCTGAGCAGGTAGAAGTTTATGTTTCAACATGATATCTCATTTATATGTGCTTAACTACAGCATTCAAGTAAAATTTGGTGTAAAATAAAATTCAGGGTACAAAGATTCCAAAGAGATATCACAGATAATATTCATCAACTAATTAGTAATCCATTAGAGCTGCTTCTAGGTGTTATTTTGTGTCCTAAATGTATTTGGTTTATTTGTATACTTTTTTGTTTTGTTTTGGGTTTTTTGTTTTTTTGTTTTGCAGAACCAGGGATTAAACTCAGGCTCTTGCGCTTGCCAGGGAAGTGCTTATTCTACTAAGCCATCTCCCCAGCCCCTTTTTTGTATATGTTTAACCCATGATTCATCTTGGAAACATCAACTTTTAAAAAAAAAATTATTTAATAAGTTATTAGTGCCTAATTGAATTAGCACACAATATTATTTTAGCATAATTTTACTTATGCCTATATATTTTTAAAAGATTCTTTATTATGTTTTATTGATACATATTTTAAAATGAGGCAAGGTGCTATAAAAATTTATGTTCCCATGAAAATGAGCAATTTTAGATCATGGGACTTATGAGGGCCACTAGTCTTATGTGAAGCTTCCTTTCTCTAATTTTGGGATATTAGATTGCCCCATTGTGAGGAGAAAGTTAACAGAGTGAGCACAGCCCTACCTAAATATATATATATTTATATATATATATATAAAACAAGAAAAGTATTGATGAAAATATGGTGTAAAATCTGTGTCTTGTATAGTGTAGACTTCTTTCCAACCCCTTCCCACTTGGGTTCGAAAATCTGGATTTCATTTTCAGTTTAGAAATGTAATGGACCTCTCAGGAAATATTAACTTGAGCGTTTCTGGACCTCTCATTCACAAGTCCTGGGGGTATAGAGGTTAACTGACCCCAGGAAATGCTGAGTCAAGGCCTGGGTGTGCTGCTTCCAGTGGTTGTTCTTAGTGATTTTACTAATAAAGTATGCTATTACTGTTTCCAGATGCAGAGCCAAAGTACCTGATAGTTGTGCGTCCTGTTCCCCCTCCGAGTCAAAAGAAGTCATGTTCAGGTATAGTCATCTTCACTGATTTTTAAAAATTAACCTTAAACCATGGTTCTCCTTTTCTTTCTACCTATGGAACCTAAATGCTGCTGTGATGCCTTAGGAAGACATCAAGGGACCAAGTCCTCAGTCTGCACTGCCTCTGGAGAAGCCACACAGCCGAGTGGTAGAACTGGGTGGGACCTTGCTAGTGCCCACCTTGCAGACATCAGGGATCGAGGCGAGTGATGGAGAGCTGCCCCTGGTTCTGCTGTGCAACAGGGCTGTCGAGTGATTACATGAGTTAATGACAGCTCCTGGCCTGTGGTCGGCTCTCACTCAGAGCTGGCTTCTGGTGGACTGTTTCCATTTTGTAAAGTGTGAGCTCTTTACTGCTGTGCTCTCCACATTTTAAGGACTAATTTTTATGTCTACCTTTGGTTTATGAAGACTGCTTACATTTCAAAAGGATACCTCATTTGTAAGTGTTAAATGGATTGAAACATTTTATATTTACTCCTTGTCTTTTCCTTCTAAATTTCTTGATATTTAAGGAAATATTTCATTTACACACAACAGAGGACTACTTTACATAAAGAAGGATAAACTGGAGTTATGTGTAGAAAAATGTTAGGTGAAATGTATCAGATACACAAGCTTAAATATTTCTTAGTTTATCTTATATGAGAAACCCAAACTGTAAATAAAGAGTAAAATAAATGACAGCTAATAGGAAACAGGGAGACAGGGCTTTTTCTTTCTTTTCTTTTTTTGTCTTTCTTTTTTTTTTTTTTGAAAATTTGGAATTGTAATTTATTTATTTACTTATTTTTAATTTTATTGAGAAGCAAACAGCAATGAGACAGTTTCGAAGCAGGTTAGTAGGACAGTTTCAATAATTAATATGTTACATATTGTTGTCTTCATAGTGGATATTCATAGTACAAGATGCAGACAGGATATCATGTCCAAACACTCCTAGTACAAATCTTTCTTCCAATAATTTCTTACAATTTATTAGTGAGAGTTTTCCAGAAAGCTTTCCACATACATTAAAACAATTGTATTCCCAATGTTTCCAGACTGTATGTATTACGATATATTGAACAGAAAAGTTACGAAGAATGAGTTTGGTTTCTTGGAATCTTATTTCTTTTTTTAAGTTTTGTAAAAAATAATTTTATTGAGAAACAAATAGCAATGAGACAGTTTCAAAAACCGATTAGTAGTTTCAATAATTAATACATTGCATATTGCTTAGTGATTATTCATTGTACAAGATGCAAACATGATATCCTATTTACAAACACTATTCATTGAATGAAGAGGATGGAGCTGTATATCTATCGTAACTATTTTGAATATACAGATACAAAATGGTCGTTCATTTGTATCCTTTTTTGTTCAGTTTTGTCAGAGAAGGGTATTCCACTGTCATTTAAATACTGTAGGTGCATGAATTCAGCAAAATATTTCTTGGAATCTTATTTCATGTGAATATTTATCAAACTGTTCCTTGATTCAAATATCATGATACAGATGAAAAATAGGTAAGCAAAGTCAAGAAAGCTTTACTCCTTATTAGAATGTTGTAATTGCATTTCCTTTCGAGGCCTCTATGACACTGAAGTGAGATGATTTTTCACTTCTTTATGAGTAGCTCAGGAAATTGCTTCATCTCGCTCAGGATGTGATACCCCACCTTTCCTTTCAGACAATGGGTATAGTTTTGTTTTGTTTTTTTAAATTTATGTTTGGAAGAAATGCAATGACTAAAGGATAAAGTTCATTCATTTTATATTTGCATCTGCTAAATAAATTTTAATTATTTAATCATTCTAATGTAAGGACCAAAACTGCATGGAAAACTATTTGATAGTGATATAAATGTTAAGTTCCATGAGGGAAAGACAAGAACATGCATCTTTTATTTCTAAGTAGTGTTATCTTCATACATTGTGAGTTCAGCCAGTAATGTAGCAAATGAACTAGATAATAATTGAAGATACCTAAACTTGACTTTTATTTTGCTTTCATTGTGATTTTAGACAACTGTGAGCCTTTTCTAGTCCTTATTTTTTACTTGAAATATAAAAGTTTTGCATTATAATGATGAAAAAATCAACTTATAAATAGAAATATATTTATATTATAAATTTCAAGTCAGAGATTGCAATGACCCCCTGCCCTGCCTTTGTTTCCAAGAATTTTTTTTCTATTCTAGGACTTTCATGGTTCCAAATGAATTTTAAGATTTCAACAGAATAAATCTTGACTTTGTCTAAAGCCAATTGGTCCCATCAGGAGAGTTATACTTCCTGTATTATTTCTACTTTTCCAGGATTATTAAGAATGTGTGTACATGTTCCCTTTAGGTGTTTATTGCAAATTATGTGTTTATTACAATAGGACATCAGGAGATTTCATACTTCTAAATGGGTCTTAAGAAGGAATGTTACCTACAACCTACAAAGTTGAACCTAGAAACCTGAGAAAGTTTCTTTCCTTTCCTTTGATGTTACTTCAAACTAGTTCAGAGTTGCAGGGAAAAATAAGGATCTTTTAATCTGTAAAAGAAGTGGGTGTTGTGTGTGTGTGTGTGTGTGTGTCTGTGTGTGATTATACACATATACACTTAGGTATTTAAGTGTTTACCTCACTTACTATAATCCAGACCTCAATATCCATCTATGGACCACAAAAGCAAAGCAAAACAAAAATTGGATTTACTCAGATATGGCTTATGTGCATCAGTATACACATATGCAAATGCATGCATATGTAGATCTAATAAAATATTTCATTTGATTCATCTTCAAATTCATGAGCAAGACTTATGGTATTTTTACACATGCCAAAAGGAATTTGATGTTTTCATGCTTTTATTGTCCTACCTAATCATAGTTGTGTATTGTATAAAAATATACTAGTGCCTCCAGAACTAACTGGTATACTGTCTTCATAGGTAAAAGCCGACCTCGTAAACCTCTGCAGCTGGTGGTTGGCACTCTGACACCGAGTTCAGTCTTCCTGTCCTGGGGCTTCCTCATCAATCCACACCATGACTGGACATTGCCAAGTCACTGTCCCAATGACAGGTAATTTGTCATAGCAACACATTTTGTCTTTGCTCTGAAAACTAGCACTGTCTTTGTCATGCTTGTACATGCTTTATTTTGTACATATAAAATGAGCGTTTGCCTTTTTTGTGGCCAGCTCAGCCCACCCTGGGTGCGGGGCTGGTGCAGCAAGTGGTGCCAGGGATGAACTGCCATCCCTGTGCTTGCCTAAGGTTGCCTAAGCAGGAGTCATCTCACCAGCCCCAGAATTTACTTATTACCTATTAGCTGTACAGTTGTCCTAGAAGTGGAAGAAACATAGATAATAGGAATCAGGGCTCTATTCTTGCCAGTTACAGTGTGCTTAAGTAAGAAACACATAGATGTATTCTTCAGCCCTAGCAGGAAAGTACAAGGGGCAAGGAGTCAATAGCAAATGGACTGTATCAGTGATAACACAGCATAGATTAGAAGAGAGGGTGAAAGGCAATTAGGAAAACCTGTAAAGAGATGAAAAATTCCTTGCAAAAGAAAAGACCTTGGATCTTTCCATTAGAGAAGTGCTTGAAATAGAAGTAGGCCTTCAAACCAAAGAACATTACATTTGCCTTTGCTTGGAAAGTTGTCACAGGGCAAATCTCAGGTCCCCCTTTTACTTGAGAAACTCTGAGGCTGGAGTCCAGCCTTTGTGCTTTCATAGGCCTTCCAGATGACACTGAGGCTCGCTGGAGTTTGAGAATCACTAGGTTAGACACCTGGAGAGAGGCACAAAGGGGAGAATCACACAGAGGACAGAGTTAGAGATAAAACTATCATCTTCTTTGGCAGAACAAATGTGGAAAGTGAAGTATATTTTAATATATCTGCTGTTCATTCATCCTTCTGTGCGACACATGCATTTGGCACTGTGTACCTGGAACTGTACTGAGCATTGCTAAAAGATTCACATTAGCTAGCTTCAAAATTCAGAAACACACAAATGGAGAAACATTCAAAGTTTTCAAGATTTGCTTGGGCTCTTCCTGTAAGCGGCCTTAGGTGACCTGTGAAAATGGTTCGCTACTGTCTTGACCCAGAAAACCCCACAAAATCATGCAAATCAAGAGGCTCAAATCTTCGCGTTCACTTTAAGAACACGCGTGAAACTGCCCAGGCCATCAAGGGTAT